GAGAGAGAGAATGAGAGAGAGAGAGCATGAGAGCGGGGAGGGTCAGAGGGAGAAGCAGACTCCCTGCCGAGCAGGGAGCCCAATGCGGGACTCGATCCTGGCACTCCAGGATCATGACCTGAGCCGAAGGCAGACGCTTAACGACTGAGCCACCCAAGCGCCCCATCTTTTTGTGTTTTAAAATGCACTCAGTAGATAGACAAATAAGCATTTAATACTTAAAAAACTAAATGCTTTAACTTATTCAAGGGATGGACAGTCATACTAAAAGATACTGCTTTTTATTTTCTGATTGCTTCATATCTCATTAGTACTTATTCTGATGGGCTAGAAGGAATAACAAAACCTCAAATTGTTAATAATGCTCCAGGTTAGTTTTGGCAATAGGTCTAAAGAATAAAGGAATCAAATCTCTGACTCAACTAGGATTCCCTTTCAATTTCAATTATTCATGTTGCTTTTGATTTCAATTGATACTCTTCTGGAACTATAAAGAATGTTTTCACATGCTTACATTGGAAAGAGGGATTTGCCAATAACTGCTAAACATTAAGGAAGGAAATAAGAGGAAGAGCCAAATGCAATGGATTTATTCCTTTGGCATATACTTGAGATTAGTTAGAATTTGGCCTAAGTGAATGAATGTCATAAAATATATACTTTAAATGGGCTTTTCCCTTCCATTGCTTCTACTAGACACAGACCTTCTTTATGTGGAGCTCCCAGTGTAAAAAGTCCATTGTCAAGTGCATGTATGTAGGTTCCTTTATCCATTTCAATTGCTATGGTTCCTGATATTTCACCAAAGTTTGTTACTGTCCACCAGATTCCTGAAAAATAAAATCAATATTTAAAATTTTTATTTTAGATTTGACACAAGGTTCTTATTTGTTGTTCTTGTTGTTATAACTTATTTTTTAAAACTTTTTATTTTGCAGTTATAAGAAATAATACAGAAAGATCGCCTATATCCTTTACTCACCTCTCCCAGTGGTAACATCTTACATAATTATAGTACAATGTCAAAATCAGGAAACTACCCTTTATACAAACTATGAGCCTTATTTAGATTTCATCAGTTTTACATAAACTCATTTGTATGTTTGTATGTATGTGTATAGATGTAGGTGACCACCACCCACAATCAAGATTACATTCTTTTCAAAATATAAAATAGCAGTGGATGTGAAGGCACAAAATGATGGAGAACAGTCTCTTTCATTCCCTCCCCAGCCATCCATGACTGCTTACCAGAGGCAATGACTATTATGCCGTTTCTTACGAATCCCTTCAGAAAGACTTTCTAGCACAGTATTCTTTTTTTTTTTCCTTTTCAAGTTTTTATTTAAATTCCAGTTAGTTAACATACAGTGTAATACTAGTTTCAGGTATAGAATTTAGTGATTCATTACTTACATACAACACTCTGCTCATCACAAGTGCCGTCCTCAATACCTTTCACCCTTTTAACCCATCTCCCTGCCCACCTCCCATCCAGCAACCCTGTTTGTTCTCTATAGTTAAGAGTCTGTTTTCTGGTGTGTCTCTCTCTTTTTCCCTATGTCCATCTGTTTTGTTTCCTGAATTCCACATGAGTAAAATCATATGGTATTTGTTTTTCTCTAACTTATTTCACTTAGCATAATGCTCTCTAGCTCCATCACACTGCAAATGGCAAGATTTCATTCTTTTTTATGGTCTAGCACAGTATTCTTAACCATAATTTAAATTAGAAACAAAATGAGCAGAAACTATGTACTCTATTTACATGAACAGAAATGGGTTTCTTTTATTCATTTAATTCAAATATAATTAACATACAGTGTTATATTAGTTTCATATATACAATATAATGACTCAGGAATTCTATACATTTCTCAGTGCTCATCAAGGTAAGTGTACTCTTAATTCCCCTTCACCCAATTCACCTATCCGCCTACTCATGATGCACATTCAATACAAGCTCTATCAAAATATCAATAATTTTTCACAGAACTAGAATAACCCTAAAATTTGTATGGAACCACAAAAGATCCCAAATAGCCAAAGCAATCTTGAAAAAGAATAAAGCTGGAGGTATCACAATCCCAGATTTCAAGATATACTACAAAGCTGTAATAAAAACATAATGGTACTGGCATAAATACCGACATACAGATCAATGGAACAGAATAGAGTGTCTAGAAATAAACCCACACTTTTATGGTAAATTAATTTATGACAAAGAAGGCAAGAATATAAAATGAGGAAAAGACAATCTTCAACAAATGGTGCTGGGAAAAATGGACCACTTTCTTATACCATATACAAAAATAAACTCAAAATAGATTAAAGACCTAAATGTGAAAACTGAACCCATAAGATTTCTACAAGAAAACATAGGCAGTATCCCTCCTGATTCTTTGACATCAGCCGAAGAAACATTCTTCTTAGATATGTCTCCTCTGGCAAAGGAAACAAAAGCAAAATTAAACTATTTGAGACTATACCAAAATAAAAAGCTTTTGTGCAGTGAAGGAAACCATCAACAAAACAAAAAGACAACCTACTGAATGGAAGAAGCTGGCTGCAAATGATATATCCAATAAGGGGTTAATATCCAAACTATATAAAGAACTTATACAACTCAACACCAAAAAAAACCCAAAAAATCCAATTAAAAAATGGATCGAGGAACTGAATAGAAATTTTTCCACATAAGACATACAGATGGCCAACAGACACAGAAAATGTTTAACATTATTAATCATCAGGGAAATGCAAATTAAAACCACAATGAGATATTTCCTTACACCTGTTAGAATGGCTAAAATAAAAAAAAAAGACAAGAAATAACAAGTGTTGGAGAAGATGTGGAGAAAAAGGAATCCTTGTGCCCTGCTGGTAGGAATGCAAATTGGTGCAGACACTGTGGAAAACAGTATGGCGTTTTCTCACAAAATTAAACACAGAATTACCACAAGATCCAGTAATTCCACTACTGGGTATTTACCCAAAGAAAATGAAAACACTAATTTGAATAGATAGATGCACATTCTATGTTTAAACTGCAAACTATGTTTACTGCATCAGTTTATTGCTGGGCTTTTTGTTCTGTTCTACTGATCTTTGTATTGTTTTTATGCTAATACCAAACTTTTGATTAGTCTATCTTTGTAATATCGTTTCAAATCAGGAAGTGTGGTACCTCCAGCCTAGTTCTTCTTTCTTAAGACTGCTAGCTATCTGGGCTTTTTTGTGGTTCCTTACAAATTTTAGGACTGTTTGTTATTTGTGAAAAATGCCACTGGAATTTTGATAGAAACTGCACTGAATCTGTAGATTGCTTCGAGGTAGTATGCGTATTTTAACAATTTAATTCTTCTGATCCATGAACATGGAATATCTTTCCATTTATATGTGTCTTCTTCAAATTCTTTTATCAGTGTCATCCTTTTCAATGTACAGGTCTTTCACATCCTTGGTTAAATTTAATCCTAGGTATTTTATTCTCTTTGGTACAACTGTAAATGGGATTATTTTTCTTAATTTCTCTTTTTGATACTTCAATATTAACATATAGAAGCAGAACAGATTTCTGTATGTTGATTTTATATCCTGAAACTTTACTGAATTCATTTATTCTAAGTTTTTTTGGTGGAGTCTTTAGGGTTTTCTATATATAAGATCATGTCATCTGCCAACAGTGACAGTTTCATTTCTTCCTGATTTGGATGCCTTTTCTTTCTTTCTTTCTTTATTTGCCTAAGTGCTTTGGCTAGGGCTGCCAATACTATGTTGAATAAAAGCAGCAAGAGTAGGTATCCTTGTCTAATTCCTGATTTTAGAGGAAAAACTTTCAGATTTTCACTGTTGATTATGAAACTAAATTGTATGTTAACTAAAGGAGAAATGTATCAGTCATTAATAAGATATTAGATGACATTAAGGAATTCTTGTTAATTTTGTTAGGTCTGATAATTATATACTCTTATGCATTAAAAGAGCGAGCAGGGCACCTGGGTGGCTCAGTAAGTTAAGCGTCTGCCTTCAGCTCAGGTCATGATCCCAGGGTCCTGGGATGTAGCCCCACATCAGGCTCCCTGCTCAGCGGGGATCTGCTTCTCCCTCTCCCTCCACCCCTCCTCCTGCCCACGCAATCTCTCTCTAAAATAAAATAAATCTTAAAATTCTCCAGAAAAAATTGTGCATAGGATATTATCTCAGAGTAAGAAAGTATGTAAGTGAAACAAGATTGGCAAAGTAACGATCATTACTAATGCTGGGGGTATGGGCACATGGGAAATTCATTATATTCTCCTCTCTACTGATGAATTAGTTTGAAAATTTCCATAAAACAAAGTTTTTAAAAATTGGTCTATCACACTGCATAAGATTTCCTATTCATCTAAATAAGGAAGGCTTTTGGCGCGCCTGGGTGGCTCAGTCATTAAGCGTCTGCCTTCGGCTCAGGTCATGATCCCAGGGTCTTGGGATCGAGCCCCGCATCGGGCTCCCTGCTCTGCGGAAAGTCTGCTTCTCCCTCTCCCACTCCCCCTGCTTGTGTTCCCTCTCTCACTGTGTCTCTCTCTGTCAAATAAATAAATAAAATCTTAAAAAAAAAAAAGGCTTTTTATACCCAATAAAAAATTAGTAAAATTTCCACTTACATGAAGTTGGACTTTTACCTAATTTCATATATACAAATTAACTCAAAATGGATCAAACACCTAGATTTTAAAAGCTAAAACTATAAAACTTAGAAGAAAACATATGGTAGAAGCCTCACAATATTGTATTTGGCAATCATTTCTTGGATATGACACCAAAGGCACAAACAACAAAAGAAAAATCAAACAAATTGGACTCATCAAAATGAAAAACTTTTGGGCCACCTGGGGTTCAGTCGGTTATACATCTTACTCTTGATTTCAGCTCAGGTAATGATCTCAGGGTTGTGAGATGTAGCCCTGAGTCAGGCTCCATGGTAGGCCGTGGAGCCTGTGGAAGATTCTCTCTCCCTTTGCCCCTCCCCAGCCTCTGTCTCCCTCTCTAAAAAAAAACCAAAACAAAAAAACTTTTGTGCATCACAGGACATTATAAAGAGAGTAAAAAGATAACACAAAGAATGGCAGGAAATATTTGTGTATCACATATCTGATAAGGGATTAAGATCCAGAATATATAAAGAACTCTTAAAACTCAACAACAACAACAAAACAACCCATTTCACAAAATGGGCAAAGGACTTGAATAGGTATTTCTCCAAAGAAGATACACAAATGGCCAATGAGCACATGAAAATTGCTCAATATTGCAATTCATTGAGGAAATGCAAACTGAAACCATTATGAGATACCATTTCATACCCACTAGGATGGCTACTATCACAGAACCAGAAATAACAAATGTTGGTGAGGATATGCAGAAATCAAAACCCTTGTGCACTCTTCGTGGGAATGTAAAATGGTACAGCAACTATGTAAAACAGTTCTCATAAAATTAAAAATGGAATTACCATATGATCCAGCAATTCCACTTCCAGGTATATGCCCAAAAGAATTGAGAGCAAAGTCTTGAAGAGATATCTGTACACCCATATTCCTAGCAGAACATTCACAATAGGCAAAAAGTGGAAGTAACCCATGTGTTCTTTGAAAGATGAATGGATAAACAAAATGCAGTATATACACACAATGGATTATTATTCAGTCTTAAAATGAAGGAAATTCTGACACATGCTACAACATGGATGAACCTTGAAGACCTCACCTGATTTCAAAACATTATGAAGTGACAGTAATCAAGACAAATATATCAGCAGAACAACAGACAAATCAATGGAACCGAGTCCAAAATTATACCAACCCATATAAAGTCAATTGATTTTTGACAAAGATATGAAGGCAGTTTAATGGAGAAAGGAAAGTCTATTCAACAGTGGTGCTGGAACAAGTGGATATCAATATGAAAAAATTAAAAAAGAACCTTGACCCCTAATTCACACCAGACCAAAAATTAATTTCAGATCAACCATAGATCTAATGTAAATACTAAAACTGAAGCCTCTTAAAGAAAATGTGGAAAAATTTCTTTATGACCTTGGGGTTAAGCAACAATTTCTTAGACTGAAGATAAAAGGCAGCCTTAACAGAAAAAAAGTAATAAATAGGGTTTTATAAAAAACTAAAACCTTCTATATACATATATCAAATCGTTCTGCTGTACACCTAAAACTAATACTATATGTGAATTTTATTATAATTGAAAAAAAATTCTAACTTTTGCTTTCAGAAAAATACCATTTAAGCAAATTAAAAATCAAACCACAGAGTGGGAGGGAAGACTGATAAGAGAACTGTATTACTTCTTGGTGGGAGTATAAAATGGTGCAACCGCTTTAGAAAATTCTTGGTGGTTACTTATACAGTTAAATGTTCACTTATTCTTTGACACAGCAATTCCATCTCTACCTATCTATCCAAAATATTTAGAATTGTTGATTTGCTATTTAAAAAAAGGGTGAAATTTTCTAGAATATTCTTTATACCATTTCATATAAAATATAAAGGAGCCAAAATTTATGAAATTTCAAAATGCAACTGGCCAAGTTTTAAAAGAGAAAAAAATTGCTTTAAAGTATAGATGTGGAAAGGATCAGAAAGCAGGCTGGTTAAATGTGTTTGGGTCAGTTTATCTCTGGTACCATTTACAGGCTATCTTAATGCTCTATTCCGTTTCATTAAGATTTTCATTCATTTTGGGGTACCTGGGTGGCTCAGTCAGTTAAGCGTCTGCCTTCGGCTCAGGTCGTGATCCCGGAGTCTTGGGATTGAGCCCCGCATCAGGCTCCCTGCTCAGCGGGGAGCCTGCTTCTCCCTCTCCCACTCCCCCTGCTTGTGTTCCTATCTCGCTATATCACTCTGTCAAATAAATAAACTCTTTAAAAAAAAAAAAAGGTTTTCATTCATTTCATAGTACACAAAATGATCATTTTTACTGTGAATTATTTTTACTGTTCCTTTAGACCAATACATATCACTGGCTTGTACAATTAAAATGCATACATGGTCAGGGGTGTCTGGGTGGCTCAGGTCATGATCCAAGGGTCCTGGGATCGAGCCCTGTATGAGTCTGCTTCTCCCTCTGCCCTTTCGCCTGCTAGTGCTCTCTCCCTCTCTCTCAAATAAATAAAATCTTTTAAAAAATGCATACATGTTCAAAGAAAATAATTAGTGAAAAATATTTAATTAAATAATATTTATCTCTATCAGGACTTTATTTTTTATTTTTTTTATTCTTATGTTAATCCCCATACATTACATCATTAGTTTTAGATGAAGTGTTCCATGATTCATTGTTTGTGCACAACACCCAGTGCTCCATGCAGAATGTGCCCTCCTCAATACCCACCACCAGGGTAACCCATCCTCCCACCCCCCTCCCCTCTAGAACCCTGTTTGTTTTTCAGAGTCCATCGTCTCTCATGGTTCGTCCACCCCTCCGATTTCCCCCGCTTCATTCTTCCCCTCCCGCTACCTTCTTCTTCTTCTTTTTTTTTCCTTAACATATATTGCATTATTTGTTTCAGAGGTACAGATCTGAGATTCAACAGTCTTGCACAATTCACAGCGCTTACCAGAGCACATACCCTCCCCAGGGTCTATCACCCAGTCACCCCATCCCTCCCACCCCACCCCCCACTCCAGCAACCCTCAGTTTGTTTTCTATCAGGACTTTAAAATTATGTTCAGAATCTCTGGGATATTAAGTAGTCTAATGATAGTATCTATTAAATCAGAGAGCTATATTTCTTCTTTCCGTGCCTTGTCCTGATGATGAAAAAAAGGCATCAGTGACATCTACTGTGCCAGACAATAAAAAGAATCCATAACTTTAAATAATATTGAACACTTTAAGAAAACTATGTATAGATCACAAGTTCTTTTGACTTTCTTTGAACTACTTATCCCTAACTAGGAAAATATTTTTAAAGGCAGCTCAACCAATGTTAACTTTTCTCAGAATAAAGTATAGAAATCTTACCAACAATATCAAGTTGAGTTTCTTCATCTTCTTCTCTTTTTCTCTTCTTCTCTTTGCTCTTTTTTTTCTTACTGCAGGAGATAATTTATATAGATGAGTTTATAAATATTGATTTGATGTTAAGTATCACAAGATGCAATCTTAGAAGAATCTTTTAAGCTGTACAGATTTATGAATTATTGATTTACAGTCTTCTACACTGATATACTCTCTTCTAATATTGAGAAATCACTTCTGATCCTGTATGTATTGTGTTATAGTTAAGAGAACAGGTTCTGGAGCCAGACTGCTTTTTTAATCTTGCTATCTGTGACTTTTGGAAAATTCACTTAATCTCTGTCAGTTTCTCACCTGTAAAATGAGGATAATCATTTACGCTCTTAAGGTTACTGTGAGGATTAAGAGATGACATGTACCTTCATGTGTTGCTGGTGAAAATGTAAAATGGCATAGCCATTTTAGAAAGTAGTTTGGGGTTCTTCAAAAAGCTAAACACAGGGTTACCATATGACCTAACAATTTACTCCTAGGTATATATCCAAGAGAAATGAAAACACACATCCACACAAAAATGTTATTAGAATATTCAAAGCAGCATTATCCATAACAACCAAAAAGTGGAAACAACCCAAATGTCCATCAACTGATGAATGGAAAAACAAAATGTGGTATATCTATACAATGAAATATTATTTAGCCATAAAAATAAGAGTATTGATACATGCTACAACATGGCACTACAGCCTTCTCCTTGCCTCTGGCTCTCCTTACTGTACATGTTACCTCATTTAATCCTCATAATCTTTTTATAGTACCATTAATCTTTCCTAATGAATGATTAAGTGGAAGCTCAAGGATATTAACGAACTTGCCACAAACTGCAAAACAAGTAACTGGTGGGAATCCAGATTTGAGCCCGTATCCCTATCAAAACCCACATCTGCATATTGTATTAAAAAATTAAGGATTTTTTTTTTTACGGGGGAGGGAAACAATGGTGAAAATAAGTATCCCTAATAAAGGAAGTTATTGTTATGACCCATGGCATCATCAGACTAAGGCGGGCGCACCCTGCGGGGCTCTGAGGGGGGCCTTATGAAGGGACCCAAACTTGTGGCTCCTGGGCTACTGGTCTCGCTCTCCTGTCTCCTCCCTTTTGAAGGCGCGACAGTCAGGCGCGTCTCCGGCGGCCTGTCTCTCCAGCTCTTACAGGTGCCCGGAAGTGAGGCGCAGCCAGGCCCAAGGGCCGGGAGCCTGAATAACAGCTCTCTAAGGCTTCCCTGAGACTCTGTACCGGGGAGGGGAGGCGAAGACGCAGTGCTGTCAGAAAAGCGCCAGTCTCCAAAACAAACTTTGGCCTTACCTCTTAGCCTTGGTTCCCTTGAGCACGAGTTTGGTGGACTTCACATACGAGTATTCGGCCATAGGTCCGGGGACACTCTGAATAAAGAGATGAGAGCTGGCTAAGGGCGAAATACCTCTACTGGAGAAGGAACTGGCGAGGGAGGCCCCAAAATATTCACACTGCAGACTCCCGGAAAGCGTACGTAACCGCGGGAGTGGGCTTGCCCCTACTGCGTCCCTAGTGTTTTTTCACCCGACTATTGAATTCTACTTCCTGTGTACCGTCTGGGGCTACGGCAACTGCAGAGGGCCGCAATACGTCAGGGTTCTTTTGCTCTTGAGAACTGAACGTTCGGGCTTCCCTAAATGAGGAAACCTGGGGAGACGCGCCCTCTGGTGGACGCAGACGGCCTAATAGTTGTGGAGCCATTCTTGAGGTATCTCCTGCTAGGTCTCAGGAGAAGGGCGACGATTTAATCAGCCCTCCCCGTTCTACTAGCTGTGAGCTGGGCCTGACTACCCCGCGCGACCGAGTGTATTATCGGACCTCGGACGATTTACAAGGCCTTGCAATTCCATAAACGCCTATTGTGTTAACTAGAGAGACTTGAGTAACGTACAGGAAACAACTAGGGAGTAAAAGAAAATATAATTAAGTGCAGAAATTTGGGCCACAGATTTCACAAGCGCTGTAGGAATTTGGGTGGAGGTGGGGTGGGAGGTTGACGTTGACGACTAATGTAAGCAGAGAAGTCTGTGTAGGATGGGTCTTTACAGAGGCTTTCAGTCTCAGTCACTGAGTATTTCTCCTGCCTGCTCCAATCTCTTCAACAGTTTCATAGTTCACTTCCCTGATGCCATTTTCTCCCTCTTCCAAGCCATCTCTGATAATGCTACCCGATGGATCTTTCTAGAGAAATAGCCGATTATTCCCCTATCTAAAATCTATTAAACACAGCCTGTTACTTTCGGGAGGGAAAATCCTGGCATCACTTAATAAACTCTTGACAGTCTGGCCTCTTTTCACACCACTTAACCCCTGCCACCTTAGTTCCGGTCACACTAAGTGGCTGGGGATGTTTGAATGGTCTCTGTTTGCTTCTGCTGCCTGGAATGCTGCCCTTTCCTCTTTCCCACGCTCTTCACTTGGCACGGTTTTTCAACCTTTAAGACAAACTGGGGCATTATTTGCTTCTGTGAATATTAATAAAGGGAAACCTCACTAAAACGGAGAAAGGAGGAGAGAAGAGGAAGTTAGGAGGCGAAGCCTTACCACTCAACTTCAATTACAGGAAGAATTGTCAATTACAGACCCCAACAGAAGAATCATCAGTAGGAAAGAATCATTAATTACAGGCCCCTGCAAGGGAAAGATGTATATGGTATCTCCTACAAGATACTCCTGCAAGATCTTCTACCCCTGCAGCTCAGCCCTTAGAAACCATCATCAGCTGGACTTTTTTCCCCCAATGGACTTTTGTTCAGAATAATCTCTCCCAGTTTCCTCCTTCTTCCGCGCAAAATAATGTTCCTCTTCTTTGTTTGTTAGACTTGCCCATGGTTTTGCCATAGCTTGCATGTCCTGAATTGCAATTCTGTTATTCCCTAATAAACCCATTTTGCTAGTAAAATAACTGAAAGTTTTATTTTTCCGGGCTAACACTCCAAAACACCATCCCCAAGCATCCTGCATTTCTCATTCTGTAGCTAATTGTTTGCTTTTTCAGGGCAGAAACATAAATAGCTTATTCATCTTTGTTTCACGTACACCCCATGCTGTACCTGCCTCAAAGTAGATCCTGCATAAATGTTTGTTAACATGTTAAGATTCTAAAGCCCGAAGTGTAGCTCTGGGATAACAAAGACAGTGGAGCATTTAGGAGTGTGGCTTGATTAGATAGGAGGGTTTGTGGTAGAAAAATCGGAGGAAGAAAATTGGAGGGGTGTAGCATATCATGGAGGCCACTGGAGATCCATTCCTTATTTATTTGTTAACCATCTCTGCAAAGACACTGTGTGCTTGGTGATAAGATGGGGCAGTAGTATGGACAAAGTCAAGGAGTTGGATGAGTGCTGGGCCTGTGAAAGGAGCAGTGAATGGCTCGGTTGGTTGGAGCGCAGGCATGTAGAGTACAGTGGTGGGAACCAGGATTGAGAAAGCAAAGTGGGGTCATTTTGTGGCTGAAAAATTGGCATGAAATCAGGAACCAGTTGCGAGGGATTAAATTTCAGGGGGTGAAATGAACAGAGCGGTACTCCAGGATGGTTATTCTGCAGTACCCGCGTTTGTCGTGTAAGCCCTGAGCCTTGGCTTTTCTTTTTGTAATGCAAATAACTGGCAAAAGATGGTTATCTCAAATAAACACACGGCCAAACACAAGACTAGATAAAGAGCCAGGCCACCTCCCACCCCACTGAGGCTCCTTTGTGATCTTGGTTGTTTTCAATACCTGACCATTTGGGCCACTTGTCTTTTCTCTTCCTGAGCTTTAAATTCGCACTCTTATGTTTTAAATTCTCTAAGAGTGAGCCTATGAAACCCTAGGCCCTCACCCCTGGCTCCAATAAAAGCAGAACCCCCAGCCTGTGCACACTTGTGTGCTCGCCATCCCCTGTCCTTCTGCCCCATATAACCTTGCTGTGTGGCCCCAGCTGTGCTGTGTATTTTCCAGGTCTTATACCGCCATTTTTTTCAAAGTTTCCCATTGTTGTTGTTGAAGGGCATCTTGCAATCATAATAGGAAGCACAATGGCCACTCCAAACACAACACTGGGTATCAGTATGCTAAACTGGCACAAAACAGTGTGGTGAGTTGTGTAAGTGATACCAAAACCCTCTTATTCAAGCCACAACTCTTTACATAATGTAGAAAACGTGGAGACCAGTTGGCTTCGGGAATCTTAGGAGACATTTTTAAACTCCTGATTCCTGGTGGCACCATAGAATCAGGATGGGCCCGTCTCAAAACTGACTCAGAAAACAAAACCATAGCAAATAATTTGGTGGGTTAGTATCCTTGTATACTAGTATCACATCTTTTCCAATATTTTCACACTACTTCCCTTTTTCTTATACCATAACAATCTGGGTCCATGCTGAGAAAAAATTCCCAGAGCCATGAAAAAAAGAGATAGGATGAGAGGGTGCCCATGTTGGCTTTTGTAAGTGACATTTGGCAAAAACTCAATTTCCTCATCTCTTAAAATAGGGTTAGTAATAGTATCTCTGAGAGTTATGAGGATTAATGGTGTAATTCATGTAGAGTGGTTGCGATCCACAAGTAAGTGCTCAGTAGGTATCAGTTGTGACTATCACCAACCTTGTTATTATTATAGGTTATCATCACATTGGCAGGAATGTTGAAAGCAAGAGAATGGATGCGTGCTCTGAGGGAATGAATGTCGAGAGACCAGAAGAGCAGGAACTAAACCATAGAACCATATAGTAAGGGGGTAGAAAGAAAAAGTGAAGACACGAAGATAAAAGAGGAAGTCAATAACAGGGTTACAGTAAAATTACAGAAATCAAGTCTAAGTAGAAACTCCAGAAAGAGCAATATTATTTAATATTGAAGATGTTCAGAAGAACAGGATGGAAGGAAGGCCATTGAGTTAACCTACAGGTGACGTGTGGGGAAGCATTTTCAGCAGAGCAGTGTGGCGGGAAGTTGGCTTGACGTAAAGAGTAGGTGGAGAAGAGGTAAGAGCAGCTTGCTATGGACTGGCTGCATGGGAAGCAAATAAGGGATGGTACATTCTGCATTTGTGGATTTCGTTCCTTCTTGTTCAGCCACTGTATATACACAGAGTTGTAGCACAAAGTTATAGAAAATAAAAATGAGACCAGTTTCATTTGTAGAACCAAATCAATACCTTATGCTGAAATTAAGATAAATTCATGACTCTCCCTTCTATTCCCACCCTCCGTTTTTAAGTTAAACAGCTGATTTTCTTCTTCATTAGTTTCATTTCCAGATCCTCCCAGGTGTCAGTGGTTTTCAGGAGTTATGTAAGTCCTCTAGGTTCTTGATGAGTTGAGGAGGATGAGGAGGTGTGAACAAACACTGTTTTCAGCAAAAGGAGGATTTTGAAATTCTGTTCATGTGTTTTTAGTAACCGTTCCAAGTTTTCAAGGTTATTCAATGACAGGGATCCTTGTGTGATTTTCCAAGCTTTACTGATAAGAACCGCAGCAGATATTTGTTTAAGATACTGATTCGCAGGTCCCCCACATAGTGGTTCTTATTCAGAAGATCATTGATGAGACCCAGGAATAGGTATTTTTGACAACTGTCAGAAGTGATTCTTACAGCCAGGCAAATTTGGAAAACATTGACCTAGCTTTTATGTTTTCATTGCTAGTAGCTGAAGAAGGCTGTTCTCAAATTTCTAAAAATAAAATATTTTTTAAAGGAAAATTGTATGACTAGATAAAATATTTATACACATACTATATGTATTGTACTGTATTATATACTTCTGTTATATTTATAATTAAAGATGGGTAAGAATACTCAGAAAAATTGTATATTAAATGAAAGGAGTGTGTAGGGGTAGAGATGAATGCAGCTTATTGCTACAAAAAAAAAAGAAAGTTAAAATGTTAGAAATCTAATGTTGCAAACAGCATTTTGTAAAGTGCGAGAGCTTCAAAATCATGCCTGAAATCTTTGATCTTCAGTTGTAAACGGTGACTTTGGACTAGATTTAGGGGAGAGACCAATTATGCTTTAAAGTGTTCTTGTAAAAGGCTTTAAATGAAAGAAAATCCTTACATGTGGTTGCAGCAATTTAAATTGAAGGCTTTTAACAAATTACTAACCCTTCCCCTCTTAAAAACTGTCTTTCATTTGAAATGAAAATTTAAGTTGTTATTTATGCTCTATTAGCATCCTTATGCAGAGACTCAACAGCATGTTTTACATTTCCAAATTTTTATTTCTTGATTTTGCTGGAAGGAATATACTACTTCACTGATTTTTTAAAAGCAAAGTAAAACAATTTATTTTGACAAGGGCAGATGGTACTTTCTTCATTTTCTGGGAGCAAAAGATTACATTTGATAGTGATTTCAGCATGAGCGCAGCGAGGTCTACATTGGGTTCAGACCAAGTGCACTAACTTTACTAAAATCCTGTTCTATTTTTTGGATGAAAATAAACACAGGAGAAACATTTAGATCTGATACAAAAAAAATCAACAAATATTTATGATGCAGAAGGAAGAATGGAGGAAACAGAGCTTCGATTATGGTAATTGATAGGCATTAGTAGACAACTATGTCAAAAGCCATTAGTCTGCTAAAA